GTCTGCTTCTCTGTAGCTGTGATAAACACTATCCAATACCAGTTCGAGGAGAGGAAAGAGTTCATTTCATCTTACATTACCAAGTGACAGTCCTCCTTACAGGGAAGCCAAAGCAAGAGCTTAGAGGCAGGAACCTGGAGGCAGGGGCAGAAGCAGAGCCTGTGGAAGAACACTACTTCCTGGCTTGCCTCATATGGATTGCTCAATTTGCTTTTTTTTTTTTTTTTTTTTTTTTTACAACCCAGGACCACCTGCCCAGGGGATGACGCCACCCACAGTGGGATCGGCCCTACCACACCAATCGTTAATCAAGGAAAATGCCCCCAAAGATCTGCATGCTCATAGGACAATCTGATAAAGGCAATTCTTCAGTTGAGGTTCCCTCTTTCTAGAAAACTCCAGTTCGTATCAAGTTGACAAAGCTAGCCAGCACAGTAAGTAAATGGATTAGCCGAGATGCTGAGATGAAGCCATATATACACAGCCAAGAAGAATGGACAGCTGAATTAAAAAACCATCAACAATTTCCAGAATTTAAAATCCTGTGTGTTCAGGGATACAGCCATTATTGGATACACAGAGACTTACCCAGCTCTGCCTACCAAGTGCTGGAATTACAAGCGTACGCTACCACTGCCCTGGTTTCCTATGGCTTGCTAATAGCTCTGACCCCCGGGCAACTTTATTTATTAACATACAAATAACATTTTAATACAAATAAAATATCACCATACCGAGAGTTAAGCCTTGGGCTATCTTCCAGCTCAGAACATGAAACCTGTGGAAAATTTGACAACAATAAAAAGTTTCTGAACATGTAACCCCCCACCAGAGAGAGAGAGAGAGAGAGAGAGAGAGAGAGAGAGAGAGAGAAACTAAAGAAGAACAAACGTTAGCCGCCCATGGGGTTCAGAGGGAAGTTCACCAAACTTGAATTTCATGTTAAAAGAAAATAAAAATCCAGAATGAGAGCATCTTAATAATAAGTCACAGAACAAACATCAGAGATGATGCTCTATGCAGGCACTCTACCTTGTGAAAAGAAATATTCATAACAGTGATAGAAAGGGCAGGTTGGTGGCACACACCTTTAATCCCAGCACTTAGGAGGCAGAGGCAGGAAGATCTCTATGAGTTTGAGGCCAGTCTGAGCTACATAGTGGGTACCAGGATAGCCAGTGCTACATGGTGAGACCTTGTCTCAAAAACAATAAACTGATGGAAAGGCAGGAGAAAAATAGAGAAAAGAAACAGAGGAGGGGAGAGAGAGAGAGAGGGAGAGGGAGAAAGAGAGAGGGAGAGAGGGAGAGAGGGAGAGAGAGAGAGAGAGAGAGAGAGAGAGAGAGAGAAAGAGAGAGAGAAAGACCCCACATTATTTTTACAACAGAAATGAGGCAAATTAAAAGTCAAATAATCCCACTCATTGATTTTCTTAAGAAGCTCTTTCTGAAAATTTGCCTTCCAGAAATTGCTGTGACTTAATTTCGCTGGAGAAATTGGAAAAATTATAGCATCTCTAAAATAAATGGTATGTCAAGAGGTGGCGAATCTTTGAGAAACTACATAAGCCTAGAAAGGGACTCAATAAATGTTTGTAGGGAGGTCATTAAATGAAAGTGTCTTATTTGTTGAGATCCCATTTCCAGCAGACATTTTTCATGACCTGACAAAATTAAGAACACCTCTTCTCAGGGGGCAAGTCCACATTTCAGTTAATTTCCTGTTTCAGTGAAAGGAAAAGTGCAAGCCAGCAAGTAATAGAGCAGCCACACTGATCCTTTCCTTTTTCACTCCTGGTCAGAGGTAGACCCAAGCCGTACAGGACTGGTCCATGGCACTCTTGAGCTCTGCCTAAAGGTGACTGAAGAGGAGGGGATCCCTTAGTGGTCTGAGAGGTCCAGGGTTGATAATCAAAAGATGTTACATTCAGACGAGGACTTGGCTTACAGGAGAACTGAGCCTGTCTGAGCAAATCCCTGACAATACCTTACAGGAAGTTCTTGTTGTCTGTGTTGTTTAAATATAGAAGAGGTACACTGTGGCATCCAATTATTTCTTAGGACCTCAAAGAGTCAGGATTACTTGCAAGTAAATGGGCTATAAATGGAGACCAGTCTGGGTGGTATAGAACAAATCTAGCTCAGAAAAGAAGAAAAAAAATGATACAACAAATCAAGCATATTTTTAAGTATAACTTTTAAACAAAGAAACAAGAAATTTAGCATCTTTTATAATCTTCCTTGCGGTCAGCTTTGTGGAAGGCAACATTTAGGTCTGGGAAGGGGCATGGCTCAGAGTTAGTGTTTAGGGCAGAGGTGTGGCTTAGTGACAGCATTTGCCTTTCATGTATGAGGATCTGGAGTCTATTCCCAGCACCACAAACCAAAACAATAATAATAAACGAACTGTAGATTAGAAACAACAGATAATCCACTTCAATCTCATTTGCTTCCATGAATAGTAGCTCCGGAGGGCTATCGAAGGTCTCCACGCCTAAGCAGGTTTTTTTTTTTTTTTTCCTCGATAAAAGGAAAAGTTAGGAAAGCTCAAGTTCAAGGGGGTAGGTTGGGTGGGGTAGAGCAAAGGTAGGTGGGGGTCTACGTAGCATCAGTATCCTGTTCGGAGCTGACCACACACGTCTTTGGAAGTCTAAGGGAATAAATGACCTTGTCTTGCTGACCTCCCCCCACACCAGCATAGCCAACTCTTCAACTCTTCCTTTGCCTACTTTTGTGAGTCAACAAGAAAAACGGCATTCCCTAACTAAGAGTTTTCTCATTTCTCATCAAAATCGAACCTTCTTTTATGTAGCTACGCATAAGCTTCCTCGCTGAAGCACCACATTCAAAAGCAGCTATAAGTAAAAAGAATTTGCTCTCATCATAAATAAAAGATTGTATATGTGAACTTATTTGCAGTAAAATCTTACAATAAAAATATAATTTATACCCTAGTTTCTTCTGTGTATTTTATGTAATATCCTAGTAAAATATTTCCATTTTACAGCATGTACCTATTAAAACCATTCCTTATAAAACTGTCGGCATCAAATAAAATACAAAAACTTGGGAAAAAAAGCACAGAAGAAGAGAATATATCAAAAAGGGGTGATGAAAGGCAACAGAAAGATGCTTGTGAAAATCTTCCTAGTGAGGTATAAATAACAGTAATAAAGAGGCAGGGGAAAGTGCTGGTAACTAATAAGGATATTTTAAGGTGAGAAATACTTAAATCCTTCTCATGATGTCATTCTCTTCCCTATGCTAATAAAGAATGCCCTCATAATAAAATTCAGAGACAGGACCCTTCTGGTGAGGTAGAATGACTTTACAAAATAAGTCAATTAAAAAGAAAGTGTCCTGGAAATGGCTATTCTTGTCAGAGGAGATGCTGGCTAACATTTGACTGCTAGAGAGATGGCCCTCTACCCTGTGGGTGGGGTTGCAAGCTCCCAGTTTACAGGCTCCCTAGGACCTTGAAAATAGAGAATTAGAGAGTTCATTCTTGGTCATGATGATAAGTTCGATTTAAATGTTTTTGGTTTTTTTTTTTTTAAAAAAAAAAAAAACTACAAATGCAACATATTTTACAGTTATTAACATTATCTCTCTTTCTCATGGGGATTGGGGGAGCACGTTTGTGACCACTTGAGAGTAAGCTACAAATTATGGTCCTCATTTACTCCTAAAACTTGAGCGTATATGTCTGTGTTCCTCTCTCACATAATTGAAGTGAAATTAACAAAATTAGGAAAATAATATTTAATTATTTAGTATTACCTAATATATAAGTGTTGCCATCTGTCCCAATGTACTCCTTTATAGATAGGAGAGAGAGACAGAGACAGAGACAGAGAGACAGAGAGAGACAGAGACAGAGAGAGACAGAGATAGAGACAGAGAGAGAACAAGCACACGTTGGTCCAAAATTCTCATCTAGCCCAGGCTCACACATTGCATTCCTTTGTCACACCTGGTTTCTGTCCTTTCATTTGGGACACTCCTTTAGTCTGTTTATTGAGACTGTCACACTTTGGAAGAGTGTAAGTCAACTGTTTTCCAGAATGAGGGCTTAGCTTACACTGGTGTTTCCTCACAGCTGTACCCAGATCATTCAGTCTAGGAAGAAGACCACAGGGTGGTGTGTCTTTTTCGGCAAGCCATGCTAGGCAACAGACAATGTCTTACTCCATACACGGTGATAACTTTAATCCCTTTCATCAAGTGATGCGCTTTGTAAAATTACCATTTCCATTTTAATTCCTAAGTGGAGAAAGTTTAACATTCAGTATAAACCCTGATGCTCATCGAATTTTATCTGGTATTTTCAACATTTGCAGATGCCTCTGGTCAAATGCTTTATTCTTTTAAAGGTTGTTTAATAAGAAGGGCTACCATGTTCCCTTGAAATGGTATACCAATGTCCCTGCAGAATCGAGGGATTGATTTTGTACTTGGACAGTCAAGTGGTACTTATTTTGACTAACATTGTATAGAAAGTAAAGATCAACAAAATTATCATAGTTAACAGGAGTATATAGGACACAAATGCATTTTCTGTGCACCAGTAATCCTCAGTGGGTGGTGAGGTCTTGTTGCCATCAAAAGGTCCTGGGTTTAGAAGAGTTGGAAAACACTGGCGAGTTTTTCTTTCAAGAGAAATTAACCTTCGGTTTAGAACATGAAATGGCTATTTTTCTCCAAAGTGCTTGTTCTGCTTTTGTGGGAAGCAACTGGGAATTAGGTAAGCACCAAGTTTATTTATACTTCTTCTCTTCTGATAACATATGCCAAACAATGTACATCGTAAACTCTGTCAAGTTTATTGTAGTGGGTCTTTGACATCTGGTTCCTGGGTCATGTTATACTTCAGTTACTTTCTTCTTCCCATTTCCAACTGCATATTTAACCACATTATCTTACTAAGTAATTCTTTTAGGCAAATTGAAACTTTCTGCAATAACCATGAAGAATAAACATTGAGAAGTTTGAGAAAATTACCCATGCCTTCTCTGTCTCCTCTTCAGAAATCTAACATCTCATCAACAAAGCTCATCTCAGTTTGTCCCTCTGGACATGACATTTCTGAGGAAGGGAAGAGAAAACCAAGTCACAAAAATCCTGAACTCAGTCCCACTGGGTAGGCCACTGACTCTATGGTCTCTGAGACTCAAGATTAATGAGTACCACACAGAATGGTTCCAATGGGCCAGTCTTCAGATGGACCAGACATGGGAAATTTCACCTCCCTGATAGACAAGGTATGTGACCTTAAATGAGTCAAGAGCTCTATAAGACTCAGCATCCTTATCCCAAACTGCAAACACAACCACTTACTTTTCTCATCAATTTTTTGGAAAATTCAATGTCAAAAGTGTCCCCAGGGGCTGGAGAGATGGCTCAGCGGTTAAGAGCATTAGCTGTTCTTCCAGAGGTCCTGAGTTCAATTCCCAGCACCCACATGGTGACTCACAACCATCTGAAATGAGATCTGGCATACATGCAGACAGAATACTGTATATATAATAAATTAATCAATCTTTTAAAAAAATTGTCCCCAGAGGTAGAGATATAGTTCAGTGGTATAGTGGAGTGATATGGAGACATGGCATTTGTGAGCTGAGAAAGTCCCAACTCCATGCCCCTTCGGGCCCTACTCTTACTAGTCTTAGTACAGGTAATTAACCCCTCTGTGCCATGGTTTTCTCAAGGTTATAGGAGTAGTAAAAAAAGCAATTTCACAGAATTATCAGAAAAAATAAACAGCATAATACTTATTTACTGCTGTTCCCAGCATGTGAGCTCTCAAAATACATAAGCTATTTCATTCTGGTCCACTCCAGTTTAATTATCAACTGAATACCTGCAGGACCCATGGTATGTGGCTTTTCCTGGGTAGATGTGATCCCTAGATAGAGCACCAATGGCAGGATAAAGAAATCATTCCACCCAAGTCTAGCCTCGTAAACTGGTGAGTTTATCGGGTTTATTTACGGGAGCATTGAGGAGCCCAATGCAACTAAAAGGACCATCACAGCATAGGAGATTACTCACAAAAGCTGCGTCTCTGAAGCCCCCATACGATTTGAAAGCCACCTCCCCAGCAGTCCTTACAGCTTCTAAGCCTTGGGGAGGGGTCTTGTGAATCTTATACATTTCAAAAATCATCCTGAGACATGAGAGTTATTTGCATGCCAAGTTTTGTAAGTTTTATTTGTATTCCAAGCCTTAACGAATCCAGGATGGAATGTTTCGGTTGAGGAAATCACCTGACAATACCCTCATAGCTATAGAGACAGTTCCTCCAGAGGACTTGAGTTTGATTCCCAGCACCCCATCTGACAACTCACAACCACCTGTAACTCAGCCCCAGGAGGACTGGAAACCTGTGGCCTCTGCAGGCACCTGCACTTACTGGGTACCTGTACTCATGTGCACATTACTTCCCCCTTAACACATGCCATATGTACACACATACATAATTTTAAAATAATAAAAATAAATTTAAATTCTTTAGGGGGCTGGAGAGATGGTTTAGCAATTAAGACCACATGTTGCTTTTGTAAAGGATATGTGTAGACTTAACTCTAACCACTGACAATGGCTGTTACTCCCGTTCCAAGGGATACAACGCCCTCTTCTGGCCTCTGGAGGCACTACATACACATGATGAACAGATATATACAGACAAAAGACCCACACATATAAAATAGACGAATCTTTTTAAAAATTTAAAAAGATACATTTCCAGTATAATTACACAATTCTTGGTTCAAGAATATTTTGTAAAGCATTTAGGATAAGCAATAGGCTTCCAAAGGCAAAAAGACTATTTCTTTTGGTCTCATTTGCACCTACAATTGAGTTGCATACAGTAGGTGCTCAATAAGGTATCTAAGTAAATCTTTGTGTAAAAAGTGGTCCCAGGCAGCAGTTAACAAGCCAGCCATAAAATACAGGCATAAATCTCCCTCCCCCTAAGCCTGCTCGACATAAAATTCACAATGGGCACCATTTGTTGTTAAATTCAAGCTATGTGAAATGTATCTAGATCGTGCTAACATATTCGGAAGCATGCTCACCTCAAGTAATGTATTCTCGCAGGAGTGAGTCCCCAGATCTGCCCCGGCAACTGACTTTTATCAACAATTAGGAAAAGAGGCATTTGTTTGATTACTCACCCAATTTCTGAACAAATGACTCCTCAGCCAACCATTGCAAGCGCCTCCCCGGCCCCACCACCACTGGCATTTTCCAAGACGAGGCTTCTCATTCGGAGCATGCTAGGAATGTAATCAAGGCCCTCTGTGGATATAAGTTAATTATCTCCTCGGGCTATGAACAAACACACGGGCTTGGTTTCTGACCGTGTTGCCTAATGACAGGGCACCCCAGAGGAGCCAAGGAGCTTGTCAGCTGCCACCCCCAAGGCCCTTTATGGCATCTGGGACTCCAGGTTCAAAATGATCCCGGCCTCTGTTCCCCCAGGCTTCTCTTCCTCCCCCCCCCCCCAACCCCCAGCAGTACAATGCTCCACACTGAAGGTGGCTTCTTCCATCCTCCTCTTGTCCAGCAACCTTTGCCCAGGGCGCTGGGGTGGGGCTCCCTGTGGGCTCACCTGGCGCCTCCTGCAGCCCAGCACATTGCCCAGCATCCGTGCCGCTCTGGAAGGCTGATCTTGCTTTCTGAGCCTCGCGGGGTAGATAAGGGAAAGAAATCAGCTTTTCTGTCCTCCCTCACCATGCTGCCAGGGACAGCAGGACCCAAAGACTCAAACAGAAATCACCTGCCTATCTCCATGTTTTAAACTTCAGCTTTTAATCCAGCTCAGAGTGGGATTAGCTGCCTCAGAGGCTGCTAATTGCCAGATGGCCGCTGATAGCCAGGGGGGATGGAAGCGTGTGTGTCAGAGCTTGGCAAGCAGCTTTAAAGTCACAACGGAAAGGGATCTCAGGAGGCAGGGCAAACTTTCATGTTTTCAGTATAACAGTGGGGAAACTGAGGCCCAGGGGGTACAGTGGCTTGCTCTCGGGGTACACAGTGGGTTAGCACTAGGTGCCCGGGACATTGGGCAGCTTGTACTGGAGTTGAGAAGAGGCTTGCCCTGAGCTGTTACCCCCAGAGAGAGGTAGACACAAGAGGAAGGAGAGCGAATTTTTTGAAAACTCTGGATTCAGTATTGGCTGCGTTCATGTTTAATACCTGGGTTCTCTCTGGTCCATGATCTGAACTACACATGTCATCTTGGTCTTAATGCTTTAGATGCAGATTGAGCCAAGCAGACCAGATAATCTCCAAAGGAGTGGTCCTTGTGCTTTTTCAAGTAGATTTATTTTTATGTTTCATGTGAAAATGCTTGCCCATGTAGATGTATACACATACCACACCACGTACGTGTCTGAGAGGATGTTGGGTCCCTTAGAACTGGACTTAAACCAGTGTGAACTGCCATATGAGTGCTGAGAACTGAATCCAGGTCCTCTGCAGGAGAGACAAGTGCTCTCAATCACTGACCATCATCAATCCAGCCCCAACTCTCATTCTTGGCACCAGAATCCCTTATAGAGTGTGTTCAAATGTAAATTGCTGAGCACAGCCTTGTCCGTATTTGGTTTATCTTTTTATGCACTCTACTGTGACAAATCAATATGCTTTATTATATCTGACGTCACAGATACCCACAGTCTCATTAAGACAGGTAATCATACAAGATGTTTACCATTTCTCTAAAAACTCAAAGGTTCTGAATTTTGAAATATGTTTATTTTTTTGATGATTTCAAGAAAGGCCCTGTGGGCCCATAATATCTGTTACAAAATGCAGAAGAAGATGAGGAGTTTAGCAACCAGTTTAAGATGTGAGCTGACCTTGAACAAAATCATCACAAAATGATTTGTCTCCCAAAAAGAAAAGTGGAAAAAAAAAAAAAAGATCTGATTTCATCTGATTATGAAAAGCAGACTTAGGTGAATTAAAATGTTAACTTTTCCCCAAAAATAGTAAGTGAATAAGGTCCATGTTATGAGCTGTATTGTGAATCCTCAAACTCATATGCTGAAATCCTAACTCCTTAGTGGCTCAGAATGTGGCTGTATTTGGAGACAGGGTCTTTAAAAGGTTAATTCTGTTAAAGCACTGGCCTTAGGGTAGGTGCCCATCCAATAATACTTTCCTTTATAATCAGTGGAAATCTTCACCCAAGCAAAGGCCGTGTGAGGACACCCTGAGCAGGCAGAGGTTGTCTACAAGCCAAGGAGAGAGGCTTCAAAAGGAACCAACTCAGCCAGCACCTTGACCTCAGACTTCTAGGCTCCAGACCTGGAAAAACAAACATTTCTGTTGTTCAGCCAACCAGTCTGTGGGGCTTTGTTCTGTTCCTTCTAACAGCCCTGACAAACTGATGGAGGGCCTTTACTATTCAAATTTAAATAGACGTTGGTAGCCATTCCACCATCATAAAAACACCCCCTTTCTTCCCTCTTGGCACCGCTTTCAAGAACACTCAAAAGAATCCCAAGGACATTTCGTCGGTACAAATGGTACCGGTTACTAGTTGAATAAAAAGAAAGGAAATCTGATCCGTCCATCAGCGGGCCATGTGGGCAGCTGCTGTTATTCTTGAACCACATTATGCCTTGACTTCCTTCACTGAAAGTGTGTGATTGGTTGGGAAGTTAGTTTAGTGTTGATGCACTTGCACAGCAAGGACAAAGCCTTGGGTTCAGGACCCTGTGCCAGAAAATGAAGGAACAGAGAGAAGGAGGGATGAAGGAAGGAAGGAAAGCTGTCTTTTGGCACGTGCCTATAATCCCAGTGTCTGAGGGGTAGAAGCAGAAGGAACAGGAGTTTAGGACAATCCTTGGCTACACAGCAAATATAAGGAAAGCTTAGATTATCTACGTGTGTTTCAAAGATGAGGGGGCTGGAAGCTCAACACATAACGCAACAAAGTATTTCATTCTTATCCTTGGTATGGACACTAGCATAGTCACAAATGCTGGTATGTTGAAAGCTGCACCAGCCAAAATGGTCCTCCATCAGTTTCTGTGGTCCGTCCTTCAGTGTCTGAGCCCTCGATGCTGCTGTGACCTTTCTTGTGCACCTGTCCATCTTCCTTCAGGCACCTGCGTGTAAGAAAGTGAGGGAGCTCAGGCAGTCCCAGCTCCAAGCACATGCTCTGACCTGATACTTTAGCCTCAGCGTCGTGGTTCTCATAAGCAAAGGTCCTTCCCTTACCCAGCCCACAGCTGTGTGTTCTGGCCGAGCAGCTCTTTCTTGTGTCCGCAAGGGAATCTGACCTTGTGATGCTCCAATAAAACAGTAGCAAGCTGAATCATGCTAAGGAAAAAGAGTGGAGCCCTGGAGATAAGTGGAGGATAAAACAAACAAGCAAAAAACAGATAATTCGATGTCTGTGGAACACCATGCACTCATCTAAAAAACAAGAAGTCCAAGGAGATGGTGTGCTAGCTTAAAAAAAAAAAGAGAAAGGAATACAATAATCTTTAACCATAAATAATAAAAAGGAATAATTGTTATTGTTTGAGGGTAGCTGTTTAAATGAAAGACTCAAACAATAAATGATTAAAATGAAATTTCTAAGCTATCTAGAAATGAAGAAATTTTGCCTGTTGGCATAAGTCAGCTAGAAAAATAAATGCCATGTGGCCCATTCAAAAAGTTAAAATTAAGTTGCACATATATGGCATATATTTGCATAAATAACTTCAAAGAGATTTCATCATCCCTTTGTCCACAATTTTGAGAAGAATCTGCATGCTCTGGCAACTAACTGATCTGGCTTCTGGTACATCTTGCACTCGGGACTGTGCTCATTGGACCAGCTGTTTTCAAGGGCTATTGTTTCGACACCCAGCTTCAGTTTGACCATCTTCTGAAAGGGACATGCAACCTGTATTGAAACACCAAACCGCCCGTTGCCCAGCGATGCAACAGTGCAGATGAACAGATTACAGCTGTGTCTTCCCTCCAGAGACCCAAGTCTCCTCTTGAAGCCAAGCAGGCTGTCAGACAAACCGTGGGATTGCATTGTGTCATCCTTTCCTCTTCTGGGACCATCTCCAAGAATTTCGCTTGGGTGTGCCCCCATAGCCCGCATGAAGTATATATATTGTAAGGAGTGGATTTATGCTTGCTGCAGCCTTTACCATAAGGTACGGTGGAGCACGCGGCTTACGACATCACCTGGCTCTCTTTTTCACTTGCCTCCGTGCGGAATTTTAGTCTCTGGACTCAAGGCCAGAATTTTTGTGGTTCTTTTAAGTGACTCCTCTGCTTCTACTGGCATTGAGATGGCGATGCAATCCGTGTGCAATTGGTCCTGTTCTACCGTCGTTGCCTGCTAGGCAACTTGGGAGCAAATATGGAGTGCCTTTTGTCAAATGTGGGAGAAATGGCAGCATCCAGGTAGAGCAAACGCCTAGTAGACTAGTAGGGCAGTCTCAGTCTTCATCCTTGGGTACCTTCCACACACCCTTCTACCTTTCCAAACACTGCTCTGTACCGCATGATCGATCCATCGCCATATTCACTGGCTTCATGCTTTGTCTTTCCCCTAGTCCCTTATACCATTTTCATGTGAGTTTAATTCTTCTTCTCCCGGATGACATTTCTCCAAGATCCTGTCTCACTTTTTTTTTTTTTTCTGAGACATACACAGTCTCTTTCTGCACTCCTGACTGGTTTACCTGAAGACATGGCACCACCTTTCATTACACACATTAAAAAGTCAATGCCTGAGAACTCCCAGTTTCGACAAATGATGCAGACAGGGAGGGAAATTTCAGCCCAGGGATTATCAAAAGCAGTCATACAAGGTTTGTACGGTTGTGAAAAATCTTGGTTAGATGATGAAGCTTTGGGTGACAGATGAAGACTGCTTAATGGAGGAGTCTGTGTAGCTGGCTGCTCTGAACCTCTGCTGGTGCGGGTTTAGCGGACTGGTACAGAGAGGCTGGGGACATGGATCTGCAGCAGAAGTACTCCTCTTTCTTGTGTGTGGAGCCAATACCACTCTCTGGACCCAGCACCTCAGCAGCTCACTTGTCCCTTATACTGGCCTGATACTTACAGCTTCCTTATCTCCCAGATAAAAGAATTTCTACAGGCCTTCAGACCACAAGGAAGGTCACCGAGATGAGCAGGGAGACACTTTGCAAAGGCCTTTGTGGTGTCTTTCCCTTCCTGGCACGAGATCTGAAATGTGAGATCCATTTAAGGGCCCAGGGAACAGTTGGTCTTGGGGACTGGGAAGGCAAGGATCCACACGAATAGGAGGTATGTCATGACCTTATACAAAAAGCAATGGTGAAGTGACGGATTTGGAAAGATGAGAAGTTGATCTTGACACCTTTTCATCTGCAGGGTGGAACCACCACATAAAGATCTATCAGTTTGCATTTAGGTCTAGAATTCAGAAGAGATGGTCAGCCGACCGACACAGATAGAAATAGACATAAACTTGAACTGTCTGGTAAAACATCTAGGTTTTCATTTTCACAGTGACCTGCAGAAGAACTTTGGAAAAGTGGAAAAGCAAACATGGACTTCTTCCCAAGGAACAGAGGACCAGGAACTCCTCGTGCTGCAGCATATCTCTTTCCACTACTCCACAGAAGACTTCATAAATGTAGGGGCTTTACACACAGCACTTATTAACTGGTAGTTTCTGAGGGTCAGGCATCTGAGCATGCAGCTGGGTGGGCCTTCTGTGCGGTATTGCACAAAATGGCCATAGCGATTGATCAAGGTGTGTTCTCAGCTGAAAGACAGCTTGGAGAAGGATCTGTTTCCAAGCTCATTCATGTTGTTTGAAGAATCATTTCCTTGTCGCTGAGACCCCAGCTTCTCACTGACTAACAGGGTGAAGCTGCCCTCAGTAACTAAAAGCACATGTGGGTTTCCCAACATGACCATTTTACTCCATCCAAAGGACAGAGATCAACTGCGAATCTGCTAGCCCAATGGAATCTCACATATTGTAACAAAACCATAGGGGTGACATCCCATTCTTTGACCATATTCTCTTGGTGAAAGCTGAGCCACGGGGTCCTTTACACACTCAGGAGACATGAACAGGAGGCTATGAGAGTCATCGTAAAGTCTGTCTACCACAGCATCCATGGATGTGAAAGATAAGGAAATATAACCAAAGAGCCATCTCTGAGGAGCAAGCACACCCACTCAGGGTCTGGATGGCACATGTATCTGATGAGAGATTCAGAAGAGAGGGAAGTGGGAAGTGGGACGGGGAAAGTACATCGGCCAACGGCAAACGGCAATCACATTGCCAGGGCTGCTCCTTGCTAAACAAACTCATTAGTATAATTCCATTGTGCTTGTCTTTATTGTCTATGTCAGAAGGGCTGGGGATGGCAGGGGGCAAACAAGCTAATCTGACAGTAATCCTCGACATTTTTTCCTGTGGTATTCTTGGGAGATTTTGTTGGCATAGAGAACAGAACACTGAATGGACCCAGTGACTGTCCTAAGAGTATTTCGGCTGACTGATTTCTCCCATTTCCCAACCCCAAAGAATAGATTTAATAACACTGTATAGAGAGAAGAGCTTTGAAAATATTTATAATGCAATCATCAGACACTTACATGGGGTACCAACTTCCTGGTAGGTGTTAAAAAAAAAAGATACTCAGGGTTTTGTTTGGTTTTTGTTTTTTAACAAAAAGATATCTGATCATTAAGTATAGTTGGCTGTGCACTCAACTGGCCCTGCTTGTGGCCTCCCCAACCTGGCCTCTCCTCCTGGCATCTTGCATAAAGTTGCTGGTGGGGCCTCCAGTGTTGTTGGGACAAAGGGACTATGCAGTAGGCCCACAGTTTTTCCAAGTACATGACACAGCCATCTCCTTGGTAATATAGCATGGCATCCAGGCATGATCAGGCACAAAATGTGGTCCAGGGTCTTTTTTCTCCTGAAATCTCTGAGCTCATCTCCCCTCTAAAACAATAAAGAGGGAATGCCCTGCTTATCAGGGTCCTGTTCTGCACAGCTGAATACACTGTCTTCAGTATCCAAAGGCAGTTTGCCTGAGCAACTATCTCTGCAAAGCCAGATTTATAAGGCAGCTAATGGTGAGAGAGGCCTCTTGCCTTATCACATGCGAACAGAGGACATGGCAAGTTCTGGTACTGAGAGAAACAAGCATGGAGGCAAACAGGTTTCTTTCAAAAAGGCAAATTTCCCTGCTACAGCCCAAGGGGGAACAGAAGACACAGGAAAACACTCACTGACAGCCTAGGAGAGGTGGTACATGGAGAGTCAATGCAAAACATTTCAGTTCTGGTTCTGAAGACGGTCTGTTGATGTGCTTGTCTCGTTGTGTTCTGAATGCAGATGTATTTGGGGAAACATGGCGCTGCACTACGTAGAGGAAAACATGACTGGGCGGCAAGATGGCTCAGCAGGTCAAGGCACTAGCTGCTAAGTCTGATGACCTGAGTTCGACTCCTGGGACTCCCGGGGCAGAGGAGAAAACCAATTCCTGCAAGACATCTTCTCACCTTCACATGCACGTTGTGGCACCCACCCTTAAACACACACAGGCAGGCACACACACACACACACACACACACACACACACACACACACACACACACACATACACAGAGTAGATATAAAACAAAAAGGAGAAGAAAGAAAAAAATGGAAAGCATAACTTTCTTAAAAGGCTGGCTTCACTATCTATTCATTATTTACCTTTCACAAATCACTCTAAGAACCCTTCATTGCTTATGAGGAACACTGTAAAGGGTGCTTCATCTCACAGGGTTTATAGCTATAGGAGCATGTTTGGACCAGCACACACGGAGAGAATTACAAAGCAGAAACCACTCTTGGCCAGTCACGTCTATTTTAACACGGTCCATGTCGGGAATTGAAAGCCTGTGATGGGAAGGGACTTGGCTTAGCTCTCTTTGCCAGGGAGGTTCAGTGCCTCTTGCTGTCCTTTATCTACACCTTTCAGGAGAGAACGAGAGAGAGAGAGAGAGAGAGAGAGAGAGAGAGAGAGAGAGAGAGAGAGAGAGAGAGAGAGCGAGCAGAGACTCCGCAGCAGTGGCTATGGCTGAGGATCTCACAGTCATGATCGGGTGTGAAGAGTGAAAAATGGGGAGTCACCACAGGATGTCTGAGCCATGAGTTTCTTGCTGAGACCTGGACAAGAGCCCCCAGACCCAGGCAAGGACAGCTCACATTTGATTTCCAAACACTTGCCCTTACTGAGTCCTGTCAGTCAAGATCTCAGACTCCAGCCACACATTCCAAGGAAGCAAGATGGCCCAAAACAAGGGGAGATGAAGTCAGCAGCCACTGCATAGATCTCAGGTCTGTGTCTATGCATTGGTGAGGCTGCCACCACTCTGTGCATCGAGAAGCTTCATG